ATCGTGAGGGAAACCGAAAGCCAGTTTTCTGTTAACCCTGTTGCTGTTTAGGTGGCTTCTTCTTGGACGCTTGTCAGGTCCGAAGAACCAGTTTCGAAGTCAACCCCGAGTTCACAATACACATTCGTGTTCGTTGTTCATGCGACGCAGAAAATATCAAGAGAGCCAAACGGCGAACATCGAACGCACGATCGGACGACCCCTACTGGCTCAAAACCACAAGATTCCGGCGGTAGCTTGAACAGATACGAGCAACTAGCGGGTGATTCGTTGGGAGCCCTAGCTAGTTGTCAGCCAGCCCGAATGTCTGATGCTGCATCGATGAATCGGGTACGATCAATTCAGAATGCGACTCAAGAAGCGTTCGTTTCGGTGCAAGTTCTGCTCTACACGTTCTGTCGGTGCTCACGATCGATATTAATGTGTTATAAATGCGCAGCAACCTCTGATTTCAACGGACTCCCAGTTCCGCGTGAAGCTCGTTTCTGATTCATCTTCATGATTCGAAATGTTGACGTACATCTGAATTTACTCGAAGAATAAGCTCCAATACACGAGTCGGCGATCTGATGAGCCTCCCGAATGAGGATCAGCGGCAGAATTAATGACACTGATTGACAGGATTCGACACTCGTTAAATTGGGCTTGCTCTACCGTATCAGAAAGTTTCTGAGTGAGATAAGGATCGTTGAACATCTGCTGTCCACTCCTCTTCCTTAATCTTTCCTAATCGCGAAGACTTATCTCTCCCACACCGGATAGGATTAGGGCTCTCATAGCGTCGAGGTGCTCTGAATTATCGGCAAATTATCACCACAAGACACACAAGTGCTCAGCGCGCTCCGATCTCTCGCGGTCGTTCCTTCCCTCTTGTATTATTTGCCGCAGACCTCTCCAATTAGACTGTCGCCCGGAGACTCCTCGATGAGCTTGTATGTCCTCTGAGCGAATCGATTCCACGATCGCGTGCTCACGGGGAGCGTTCCCTCGCAAGGGATGAACTCATGGATACTTTTAGTTTTTAGAAGTCTATTCGGCGGTGTGGATGAAGGTAGTCAGCCGTCTCCTTCACCACCGCCGCGCCAGCCGTGGTGACGTCCGTGCTGTGGCTGCAGTTAACCCACTCATATGATATAGCTGCCTTCTCGACGGACTCGTTGGAGCATTACGGCGTGGGAGGTTCACACTCGATTGAGGCAAACTTAAGCCTTGAGAGCTCTAATGGAATGGGAATTGCCTTCCTCAGGGATTCAGTCACTTTGCCTCAGCTCCCTTTCAGTCAGTCTACCCGTCTACCAACCGAGTCTGCGAGCCAACCAACCAGCAAGCGGCCGACCAGCCACCCAGTCGGTTAGACAGCTATCGGAACGCCCGCCCGCAAGCCAGCCGGCCTCCCTCTGGTTGACTCCGAGTCTGTTTGACGTACTGATTGCCCAAAGGATTCTTCTCCCCAGTGCTCTTTAGAAAATGAGCGTTGCTGAACGATGATATCCGAGCAGCCGTCAAAGCTCGATACCCGATGCTTCTCCGAGTATTTGAAGGAATTCTTGAGAATACGACCCGATTCGTCTACTCTGCTTCGAAGGCTCCAGGGGAAAATCACGGGAGAAAACGGAGAGGAAGGACGATCGATCCAGGGTGCTCGCCTACGACGACGGCGGAGATCACGATATTTCATCGTATCGCGGGTGTGATCGTAAGGCATGGTGTGTCTATATGATCTATGGAGGGCCATGAGAGCGTTTACTTTTCATAACCAGCATCATCCAAAAAGTAAACTGAGCTCTGAGGCTCCGCTGCGGCGGCGATTACCTGCTTGCCACGAACTTCTGAGATGCTCATCCCTCATCGCAGTTCCAGTGGATCTTGAATCCGCACGCAGGGAGCCCACGCGTTTAATTTTGGAATATGCATCAATGCTCAGGCGGTATCATACGAGCTGCCGACTCGGTGTGTTCTGCTTATGCACCGCGATTAACGTCAACTCTAGAAGACATCCCACCTCATTCGCTGTGGGAAAAACGGGAACGAGTCGGGCAGCTTCCCCCAATGTTCAGGGGTCTCATCGGAAGCTGCTCCCTGGAAGGATAACGGACGTCAGAGACGAGGAGACGTCTTTCGCTCAGAACTCGATTTCAAGCGGTAGCGAAATATCAAATCCGATTCCACCTGGGGAACGAAGCTCGGACTGAAAGAGATCCCGCATGTTGTATTGTCTGGTCCTTGACAGTCCGATAATGAGTAAGCTTGTGCGCCTCGAGAATCCTTCCGGGAGTTCTCGGAAAAGAGGCCTTCATTCGTAGAGTCGTCGTCCAACTGGAGAAGGGCTCTCGCTGCCTTCGTCGTGGCTGCTACATGAGCAACGCTGTGCGATAGTCACGGACTCTCACTCGACTCCAACTTCGTTGCCAGCCTAGATGGCTAAATGGCCGATTCACTCGATAGCAGCTTGTAGTGAGGAGAATCGTCGTTTGAAGACTCGCTCCCGGTCGCAAACTTTCTGGCTATTCGCCGGTTTTGTATGATTGGCTAGCTGTCGTGATACTGCTGCTTAGATCGGTAGGCGACTCGCTAGCTGTTGAGCCGATTCTGTTTCTGTAGCAGTAAGCTGCTGCTGTAGCAGCGGGAGGAGCAGCAGCACACAAATAAATCAACGGCGAGCGAGCGAGACTTGACATTGAAACGACCTCGAAGAATGGCGGTTCAGTCATTTCCAGCAGCACCGAGCCGGCGGCGGGCAGAGAAGCGAGCAAGCAAGCGAGCAACTCAGCCGGCCAGACAGCCAGTCAGTCAGTCAGTCAGCTGAGGCAGAGAATCCACCACGTGCAGGAGACTGCCGCCTCGAACATCCTTCATTCCGAAGAGCCTAACGATATACGGAAAGAAGGGCTGGTTGACTGGCTTGCAGCGAGACAGACTGTTTTACTCGCCGATCGATCTACCGACCGACCCTCTGACTGACTGGCTGACTGACTGGCAGACTGACCGACGGTCTGACTTACAGAGGAACTCTTTCCATCCTCGCAGATTCTGGGTGAAGGAAGCTCAGAGGAGAATGAATTCTGAGTTTCTCGTGGCTAGCCCCTGTTGGAAAAGCAGCGAATGAATAAGAAAGGTGAAAGCGTAAAAATTCCTCGTGCATTTCATAGCGGTGCGAGAGTGAACGAAAACGTTGGCACGGAGAGCGTTACGGTGCAGCTGGTCGAGGAAAAAGCGAGAACGAGGCCATGCCGTGCACTTTAACCTCCCCAGTCTCCACACCCTTTGGCATCTCGAGAGAGACGGGTCCTCGGTCGCAAGCGGCCCGCTGGCTGAGCCGGCTCCCCAAGCTGGCTCGTGAGACTCGAGCCGCACTGCGCGTGTTCACTTGAGTATTTCTATGGTCTAAAACGCTGATTGAGCCAAGTATTCTCGACTGAGCCTACCCATCGATATGATTTTCGCAGGAACGGATCTTCTTAGCCTATCCCGTTCGATGGCTCGCCAGAGAGCTTTCGCGCATCCCTCCAACTCGGTGGCCCTAGCTTGTCGTCGGCAGAATATTCGGCGATTCTCCGGCCTGGTGTCGATCCCGATCCGACGACGTTGTTCTGCATTCAGACAATTAATCCATCCGAGAGCTGCAGCGAGCGCCTCCACAAGCGCATCAACCTGCCGAGGAGTAGAGCATTGCAGCGAGACAGCCAGGCGAGCGTGCACGCTGACAGGGAGGCGATGTAGCCAGCCAGCTAGATAGCCGTCTGTCGAACAGCGTGATCGCGGTTTCCATGGTACCCGGCGCATAACATTATCACGACCGACCCTGAGCATGCGGACGAACAAGCGGGCCGCGCCATCGAGTGCAGCGACCAGTCGGTGCGCGGCGTCTGCTTTCTGTTGCACGTGGGCGCGCGACTTTCGCATCCGCGTAACTTCAGAACCTTTTTGCTGATTATGCATAGCAGCAATAACTGGTCCGCTCATCAATCGCTTTTAATGTCATCATCATCAGAGCTTCGCTTCCCGCAAATTCAGGAGCTCGCAACTGTAGTTAGCATCCTCGTCAGAATTATTCATCCAGTGCTCGAAATGGACGAGATGCGAGAGTTACCTTTCGATTCGGGTCGCCGATATGACGCAAGAAACCCAGCTCGCTGCTCGACATCTTCACATCGGAGCGACGGGAGTTCTCGCTGAAACAATCTTTTTCGTTCCTAACCCATATGATCTCATGCGATCATCATTTGGTTCGGCTGCGTCATAAATTCGTATGTGTTGATGTTATGGCTCAGGAGAAGTGGAGGGGCAGAGGAAGTCTCGGGGTCAAAAGAGGATTATGGACGAGGAAGCTGGTCCAGGATAACCTCAAAATCCGGAGGAATCGGCTCACAGGGAATCGGAGAGGAACCTGGTCCAGAGGAGAGCCATCAAAAGCTCGAAGGACGTCATGTAGGTTGAAGTGCTACGACTAAGCTGCTCACCCTCCAACGTCGCTTCGATGTGGCTATAACGTGGCGCGGCATCTCGCTCCCTGAGCTCGAGCAGGCGAGCAGTCGACTCGCCCGCCTCCCGAAGGGCGCGTTGAGGCGAAGCGGTTTCGCTCGAGGAGAAAAAAGGCGAGGTGAAAAAACCAGTCGCGGCGTAGGAAACTCCTGAAAGAAGAAACTCGGTGCCAGCGGGAAAATCAGCAGACACGATCGCTGAATCATAAAATTTCCGCGGAGATACGGGCCAACGAGAGCATTTCACGAATCATTTGAGCCCTCAATAGAAGCCGGGACGGGACCCCTTTCGCGTGGTCCTCCTCTCGCGCTTCTCGTCGCTCTCAAGCCTATTTCTACCAAGACTCGACCTGCCATAATATTTCGCATAAGGATTCTCTCACCAAATGTCTATAGACGTTCCCGGGGTTTTCCAGTCAATGACTCGCATCGGGAATCCACTGTTATGACCGAGAATTCTTTTTTTTCCTTTCGCCACCCTCGAGCTCCATCGAAACTGACGCAATTTTCTCCCCGCAGGCATCACCTCAAGACCTTTCGGCGTCATCGACGCAAAGCCCTAGCAGCCCTGAAACCAGATCACCGTCACCGGGATTGACGCCTGGCGAAGAGCGCAAGTTTCCGGGCAATGCCAATTCGCAACCCCCGCAAATTTACCCTTGGATGCGGAAGGTGCACGTTGGCCAAAGTAAGTACATTCCTCTTCAGGACTCCGTTGTCATCGTTCGTTCGTAGAAAGTTTTCGTGTTAACCGCATGTTATAGCCGAGTAAAATGATTCAGTTTCGGGGAAATTGCCGATGTGTATTTCGAACACGTCAGTGTGCCTAGGCTGCCTCGGGATGAGGTTGCCAACGTGCGTAATTGTTGCTGTAATGGCCGTCCTCCGAGCGGGCTCTGCTGGCAGCGATCGCCAGCGCTACAGCAGTTCCTTGATGGCACGAGCTAACCGAGCGGACAACGAACAAACGAGCCTGGTTGGATGGTTGACTCCGGCAGAGTCTCCAAGCGAACGATTAGCCATCCAGTCGACTGTTCGGGGAGCCGAGCAAGGAGCCAGGATGTTCCTCTGGGAAAGATGTTCCTCTGGTCGTCGTCCGAGGAACCGAATATGATCTAAATATATCAACCGGGCGGTCCAGCAGTCCCTTGCAGCCGCCCACCGCCAACTTGCTCGACAGATTGACTATTCAATCGGTGAGGAACACTCGCGCTCGTTTCTCGAGAATTTCAACACCATAGGAGAAGTAGTTGAATGAATCCTCCGCAAGGTTTCCGACGATTTCCGGTCTCTCAACTATGAGCGCGCCTCGTCTGGGGCAGTAATGAGCGCTAATTTAGCCGGTCGGATCTCGAGATGGCGCTTCGATTCGTGATCGGCTCTCCAGCGGCTGCCGCCTCCGAGTGGGTGAAGTAACCCAAGCCAAGCACATTCTTGCTCTCGCTCCCTCATTCTCCGGCTCGCTCGCCTCCGATATTCGCAACTTGCAAACTCCCCATTCAGGGGTTGGGCTACCCGAGGCCGAGGGGTAATCTGGGCGCATTTCGCGCATAAAGAATTCGGCGTCGAAAGCTCGTCCGAGATATCAGTGGGATCCGTGAGCTCACCGGAATGCTGATCGTGTGATCCCACGATGGCGTTTGGTCAGTGCAATCTGTGTGTGGAGAATATTGAGACACGAGAATGAATGAGGAATTCAGAAAGTGTTCCGTCCACCCATCTGATTGTTGTCCTCGGTACCAATGGAACGTTCCTACCGACGACGCTGAGGCCGACGTCTCGGGCAGTCACCGAAACAATGCCACATACCTACATTATACATACGCGAACCCCGCTACCGACTCAGTGGGCGATGGAAGAGAACAAGACGGGAGGTAGACAGCATACAAAGGGCAACAGATCAACGAATGAATGGCGCGATTAGGGTCGTCGCCACCAAAGAAGCCAGCTGATATTACAGAACCTATTAGGCGCAGGAATCACTTCGTCAACCGTCGACAATTAGCTCGGCGACAGGCTTACCACAGAGTGTCCTGTCCGGGCCAATCTGGCATGCCGACAATTGGCGTCGTCATCTTCGTGAATGTCTGCTGCACCACTTCGAATTCAGACTAATCCAGCCGAGCTACAGATAGACGCGCATCTTGGCTGACCCATCGAGGGACGGAAGTGCGATGCCTCGATACCGTTCGGTCCGTTCCCTGCGCGAACTCAAGGCGAAGGAAACCGCGGTCGGGCTTCTCGAGCAGACCGTTATCGGAAGACGTATCCAGGGAGGCAGCGGGGAAGAAATGCAGGCTCCTGATCCATGAGCTGAGAATTTCCATCAGGGCTCAATTTCGGGAGCTCCGGTCCGCCCCTGCAGTGTCCGAGGTGCGCTCCGAGAAAGAACTACACCTTTCGATATCGAGCACATATCCTTCGTGATCGTGAGGTCTTAGCGGCTGCTGCGGCAGCTCACTCGCTAGCTCATCATTGGTGGTTGGTTGGTCTCTCGTTCGTTCGGTCGGTCGCTCGGTTGGTCGGTCGGTCGAGGCTGGCTGTTGGCGTTGTCTCGCAGATGCGAGCTGGAGGTGATCAGTCTTTGTTCGTTTATTCGTCTCGAGAACATTCGAATAGAGTGCAGCTCCTGCCACTTTTTTCTCCCGGTGTCGCTGCAGCAGAAAGTTTCTCTCCTCGTCCTCCTCTCTCGGGCTATGTTTGTCTTTCTGCCCGTCTCCTTCTTCGTTTTCGCAGTCGTTCACACGGAGACTCCCATAGACAGTCTTCTTTTGTCAAAGTAGCTCAATGTCTACCGCTCGGCGAGCTCGAGCGCTCAGCGACGGACGGACGGAGTGACTGACTCCCTTATGTAGCGCTCTTCCATGAGGAGGACTTTTCGCTCTCGGCCGGCTCGTTCGGCAGCTTGCTCACTCGCCCTCGGTTTTCCTCCCGCTTGGGGCCATTCGACGAATTAACCCGGGCGCACCGCCTAAACCTCTTCCTCCTCGCTCTCGATCGTAGCGCAAGAGTTCGAGGGAGGATAAGGAGAAAAACATTGTGGGAGACGCCCGTGTGGATTTCGATGTATGAGCGAGCTAGCCCTCCATGAGGCCGAGCAAGCAGGCATCGCATGCCGCGATCGCATATATCCATCGTCGGCAAACCACGATAGTGCGGGACTCCGTATTGCCTCAGCCAGGGGAGGCATCATCGAAAGCACCGAGAGGTCCACGGAGTAGCAAGACATGTCTCCAGATAGGGTAAAGATAGGGCCGACAACCACGAGTCGACGGATGGTTAAAATACTCCGAGAGCTGAATTTCGACAAGCGCGGTGGTCGATACTGGAGAGCGGTTGGAATAGGAGAGGGAGATCGCGCGATAGAGGATGTGGATGAATGAGCGAATGGATGGATGGATGAATGGATGGATTGCGAGATAGATGGACACAGAGATGGACGGGGACGAGGGCAAGACTCCGTGCTGACCCTAATGGCATTGTATGTATGAGCCGGGAAGTGCTCGTACGATTCTCGACACAGTCTGCCGAGTGACTCTTGCTGCTTTTGCTTCCGAGTTGCCCGGTGGACCCAGAGACTACCGCTGTTCCCGGGGCGACTACTGGTCGACGGCTCGTGTTCGCCGATTTCATTCTCATCAGCGACATAATCATATTTCATCGCTCCGAATACGAGCAGCACAGAAGGTTCTATGCATTGCGTCAAGAGATTCTTGTCGAAAACACATCGCTACCCGAATGATCTGCGAGGCCCCATGTTCCGCTGTCAGCTCGCCTCGCTCAGTCAGACAACGCGCTCCATCGTTCTCGTGTGATTGTTTCCTCTCGTTCCCCATTTAGCTCTCTTGACTGTTTCGGGCTACTCTCGCTCCCGCGTTCAACTGCGCAAGATCTCCGCAGTCAGCACCACGGGGAGGATGGGACTCCCAAAATTTGTGCAGTATTCACAAGCATATCACCCGAACGAGGAATCGGCCATTGTGATACATGTAGAGCCGAGCTTTATTCAGTTAGCGCAATATGGACTACTTATGCACCGATTCGGACCTGATCTATGTGAAATCTCAGTTGAAAACAAACTGCAAATGACTCGGTGAGAGCTATCGCGCACCGATCGGGTTCTTTCCGCTATTCGAGGACGTCTTATCCTGAGTCGCATTCTTCCATTCCAGATGGTGTGAACAGCATGGGTGAGACAAAGCGCCAGAGGACCTCATACACCCGCTATCAAACTTTGGAACTCGAGAAGGAGTTCCATTTCAACAGGTATCTCACCAGAAGACGAAGGATTGAAATCGCCCACGCACTTTGCCTCTCCGAACGCCAGATCAAGATTTGGTTTCAGGTCAGTCCGAGAGGATAGGTACCCACAACGATTGGAATGATCCAAATATCATGAAGTAGGGGGGAACGTGAGAGAGGGGAAGCCAGGGAGAAGTAGGAGAAGACGCTCGTCTGCATCGTTTCCACGTCGATGAATTATTGGCGTTCTGCCAAAAAGAGGCAGTCCTTTCGGGATGTCAGGCTTGCGTCGTCGAAGCCGACGGCGCCACTCATGCTTTTAGGAACTCCATAAACGCTCGACTAAGTACTGAGATTCGGAGCCAGCTGGATATCAATGTTTGTTTGTGAGGATTCAGTGGAACACTGTTGACAATGGCAGGGATCGGACCCGACTCGGGGGCTATCATTGGAGTTTGAAGATGAGGCTCGGCGGCGATCCCTCCGTGTAGCTCTGCAACGGTTTGTGCTCGGCTACGCAAGAGACTGGAGTAATCCAGGTCCGTGTTTGCTGGATGTTCGGCAGAGGATGAGCGGATGACTGGAGGATCTTTCAGAGTGTTCTAGCTCCCGGTCAGCCTATCAACGGAAAGAAAGACCGACTGACTGACTGACGAAGTGACTGACAGACGAGTAGGCTGTCTGACAACCGGAGGGGCAGGCGGTTGGCCGGGCGGGCGGGCGATCGGGCTGCGCGTCCGATTGAATCGAGGAGGACGACGAAGCTCCAAAAAGGACGACAGGGAGAGAGAGAGTCCAGGGTGGTCTCGTCGAGGGACTCGTACTCAGGGAGAGGCTGCCGCCCGACAAGGGGGCGAATGCCGCCTGGCCGATCTGTCTGTCTGTCGGTCGGTCGACCGGTCGACGACGGTCTGAGAGGAAGCTTGATATGATCTTCCCTTCCCGTTTGTTCCACCCTCGTCGGCGCTCTCATCCTCTTC